GTCTCGAGTTGCACCAGGGGAGGTTTATTTTGGATATTAGGGGAAATTTCTTCATGTAGAGGGTTGTCAAGCACTGGAACAGGCTGACCAGGGCTACGGTGGCATAACCGTCCCTGGAGCTATTTAAAGACACGGCACTCAGGGGCATGGTTTAGTGTGGACTTGGCAGTGGGTTAATGGTTGGAACTAAATTATATTGGAGGTATTTTCCAACCTAAATGACTCTGTGTTTCTAGGAGAACTGGGTACTCCAGCCTTCTAAAAGCCTCTCTGTAATGTTAAAACTAATATCTGTGAAGCTATCTTCATCATCTCTGAAACATGTATGTGTCTCACAATATGTATGGATTGGAGCAGTCTTTACAGTTCATTATATCCCTCTGCTCCTGGGAATGGTGAATTCTTTTTTTTTACTCTAGGTTTGCAGTTCTACTTCAAAGTTATTAAATCGATAGGATGACCACTATTTACATTAAGGTTTATCTACCATTTTTACTGAGACAGCCATCAGTATTTCTTTCTTCAATGTTCTTTTCAACTACCTCTTTACCAAGTCTAATTCTGAAAAAAAATCAGCTAAATATTGAAAGGCTTATAAAAATAAAAATATCTAAATTTTATAGAAAGCATTATTATAGATGGATAGGTAAAAATCTTGCATACAGTCAGTTGCTTGGAGCTGTAACTATTTGTTACTAGCTGTAACTAACTTGATATCCTCTAATATTTCTTCATAAAAATTGGAAGATGTTCACCACAATTCACATTCAAAACTTTAAATCACTGAGATAAGGCAGAAACAAATTATTCTGCATTTAACATATTCTTTTTCCTGCTCTTGTTCACTTAGTTTAAAAGGTTGCTGTCCTACCAGTCAATATTCCAGTGCATAATGACATTCTCTCTCTCCACTTCTGCTTTTATCCATTTGCAGACTACAGTTCACACCATGAAGCTCTATGCTGCAACATTCCTGGCCTGAAACAGACTTCTAAAGGCATCCCAGTACCTCATGGTTTTTTTGAACATTTTCTGACTTTCTGAAAAATCAGCTAATGTAAAGCACAACAGTGAACTGTGGCTTGATCAATTTTCTCATAGGGTTCAGGCTGTCACTGCTGTTCTCAATGTTCTTGCATATTTTAGCACTTCTGTCTCATCACAGAAAGAACAGCTCACAAGGAGCTTCAGCAAGCAAGAGTCTAGCAAAATGCCAAAATGGAATGCAATCCTACCAGATATCATAGCTGGTATTTACACTATAATACATAATACATAATGAAGCTTGGAAGTTTCTTGGGTTTTTTTAAACTGAAATTAATAATAAAGGAACTTAACAGATGAAAGTTTTGCTTTTTCTGACAGCTTCTCAGACTACAAAATTGTACCATATACCTATTCACACTGTGCAAGGCTGTTCAATATCATAAAACGCTGAAGAATTTTAATTCAGGCCATACTCAACTGGAATGAAGACTATAATTTTATTCCTTCAGCACTCTCATCTGAATTTCATCTAAACTTTTGAGCATGAAAACTCATAGCCTCAAGCTCCTGCTTCCTTCCTTCACTGCAGCCCAGACTGATTACAGTGTTTTGCTAAGCCATCCCATGAGCCACCTTAACAGGGTAGAAACACAGTAATTGCTTCCTGGACAGGTTTGAGGCCAGTACACCATCTTTCTTCCATGTGTTTGTTTTTTTTGACACTGGAACCACACTCCTGCTATTCTTGTAGCACTGCTCCTCTGAGGTTTCCCATTATTTCTCCAGCCTTTCCCTGATATATTATGGGGAATTATTTCTGTCCTTCCACTCTCCACAGAAATTAAAACACTGTGCAAGGCTCTCCTCTTAAAAAGAGGCCTCCCCTCTTTTTTACTCCAGGCCAATTCCTTGATAAGGTGATACCAGGCACATGCAAGGTGAGAGCGCTTGTCTCCTAAAAATAGATGGAATGTAGTCAGGTAATTTCCTTACCTTCTCTTCTGTTTTCAACACAAGACTACTTATTCTGGGTTTTTCCCCCAAAAGCGATAGTATTCTTTCCCCAGTTCTTTTAATGTGGCCTCTGTAGGTTTGCATCAATGTCATTCTCTACCACCAAATTACTTAAGAGTAAGTTAAGAGTGGGTATTGAAATGTAATGTTCCCTTGCTCCTTTCAAGAAGGAAAGGAAACTTCCCACATCCTGAAGACCTGAAGGTAGTTTGATCTTCCTTGAGTGCTTTTGTGATGGAATAAAGAGGAAAAAAATATTATCCTTGCAAAATCACTGGGTGTCATGGGGTGACTTTGTGACTTTGCTTGTATCCCCAGTCACCTTGTTTATGTTACATAGTAAGTTCTACACCTTTAAGACTGGCTCTGAGAGCAAAGGGAGGGGGAAGAAGAAGCACGTAAGCATGTTAAGGAAGAGCCCTCAGTCCCCCACATCCTGCTTCAGACTGTGTTGTCTGCAGCATGGACAGACAGTGGGACAGAGCTCTCCTTTGCTGCTAATTTTTTGGCTAGCTAAGGCAGGGAACTTCCCCAGACTGTTTTTTCCCTTTTTCCTGGGATCTGTTCAAACCTTATCTGGACTGAAAACCCAGACAAACACCGGGAGCTCATGTCTGTGGTCCATCGAGGCCTGGGCCTCAGCACTCCAGCACTGGAGGGACTAATAAGAGACTGAGTAAGCTGAGCTACACTCCAAGGACTTTTCTGAATGTACCATCTCTTTGAACAGCAAGACATTTTGTTATTTAATATTATTAAATTTCTGTTAAATAAACAGGTTTTTTCCACTTTTCTCTAAGGAAATCTTTTCCCTAACTAGTTGGGGGAGGGGCTGCTTGAATTTGCTTTCTTGAGGGACTCCATTCGGAGGTTCTCGCCCAAATTTGCCCTAAACCAGGACACTGGGAAAACAAAAAACTCCCCATATAATCTGTCAGAACCTGTCAGAATCTGTCATACAACCTGTCAGAAGGTTTTCAAAGTTGGCATTACGTTCTAGCTCAAAAAATATACTCTGAGATACAGGAAAGAAAAATTCCATAATTCAAACATTATTGTACTTTTTCAAGGATCTGTCTATCTGGCACATGTTCGTGCCACTATTATAGTGTTCAGTGTAATCACTCATCATGGAAACTGATGTCCCAACCAAGAGATTACAGCAAATTATTCATGCAAAAATTTATCCTCAGAATCATCAATAAACCGGCACTTGCCAGCTGCAACAACATGCAAACATACATGCATTTTACTGCTGGCTGCTGCTGCAGTGTTTCTTGTTAATGGTATGTTCTGTTATTGCCCAAGTTGATGATTTGGTCCAAATGAGACCCTCCCACCTCACATTGTCAGTCTACCCTGAGTGTTCTGTCAATCCCATCCTAGGCCTGCCACGTGCTTGGAATTCCACTTCAGAAATCCCCTAAACTTCGACACTTGATTAGTCCATGTGACCCAACTTTCCCCCCCTTACCTCCCTCATTGGATGATGATTTTGTGAACCCTGCCTTTTACCCTCCCCAGGATATCTCTGATTAGCTGATGCTTTGTACCCTCCCTTTGAACTGCCTCCCTATTTCAGCTGTTGCATGCTCACATTTTCTTTTGCCCCCAAGATTCTCCAGAGCATAAATCCTCTGTTATCCCATGCAAAAGACCTCCCTCTTGTCCTTGTCTCCTCAGAGCACAGACTGACAGCCAAAAAGCCTTAGAGCAAGTGCTCTAGTCACACCTCGGGTCATCCTGATCCTCCTGGAGCAGACCGAACTGATAAGAGACAGATAGCCACCAGATAGAGTTCCAGCCCGATGCAATAGCTGCCAAGCTTGACATTGTCTTTAAAGACATTAGCATTGTAATAAATCATTTTTCAATTTTAATTCTACATTTTTCCTACAACGGCTTACAAACTTATTTACACTTCTGTACTGCAGCTCCATTCTAAAATTAATCTTGTTCAAAGCATTTTTTCTTGTTTTTGCTGCCTATATTCTCTCTAAGGATGAGCTCTTCCAGTTGTGTCCTTTTAGTACCTAATGCCTTTAAGGTGAAACTTAGTAACTCGCTTCAACCACACCACACTGTAGAACTTTTAAAAATTGATTATGTTGGAAAATTTGTTTCTGATTCTTCACTACCATTGAAACTTAGAAAAACCTAAGTTACCTGTTAACAGTTCCTTGCTTTGTCTGTGCTACAGGTAGTGTAAATAGTAATTCCTACTTTATGAGGTGTGAGATAACCAAACACCATGACCATGTCTGAGCACATTGACAAACAAATCACCAAAGATAAAATACCATTTTACATACATTACATTTTTTATGCCTGAACTCAGCTACCTAGCCATCCACCAGTCTCTTAATGTAGCCATAAAATTACAGGACTGGACAACATCAGAAACATGCACACAAGGGAAATGCATGGCACTTTTCCTGAAACAAAGCAACAGAGCTAAGCATCTATTTCACAGAAATCCACGACCCCAACTTTCAAGTTGTTTTTAAATGTTCCCCAGTCTAAATTTTTTTAAATGCCCTGTTTTTCTCCTACACACCAAATGAATCCAAAACAACAGTTGTTTACAATACCTTTTTTATTTTTCAGCCAGAAATACAATTTAAGTTGATATTTCAATAAACAGTGGTGTTTATTCCTTAAACAAATCCCCTATCTCTTTGGCATCAACCGTATTCTGTTTTTCAAACTAAAGGCTATATAGGAAGACTTTACTTTCAAGATCATTGTTCAATACATTAAATTTACACTTTAAATTAGTGTAGTTAACTTTGAAAAAGACACTTTTTTTTTTGGTATTTTCTAATAAACCTTAAAAAAAATAACCAAACCACAAAATGCTTACTAGTGGGCTGCCTTAATTTAAAGTGTTGAGTGATAGACTAAGAACTCTTCATTTTCCAGAGCACATGCACTAACTAGTGCTTTCTAGTAATTCTGAGCAATAAACAAAGAAACAAATAAAAAACTTAACTCTATCAGAAACAATTGATCAAGTAATTCATGTTTCAAAGCAATATGAAATTATTTTTAACTTCTGCAGAGGTCATCAGGCAAAATCATGTTTTGCACTTCTTCAGCAAAAGACTGCACCTAAAAAACAGAATGAAAACTATTTTTCATTTTTAAACTAAAGTTACCAAAATCTTTTAAACACATCTAGGAATGCAGCTGTGAAAACTGCATTTAATGTCACGTTTAGATAAAAAAATTCATTAAGTAACAAAAGTAACCCAGTGCATTATTCTGCTGAAAAATTCAAGATCATTTCTTCAATGCTGACAAGAAATATTTTACTTGCACTCTTGTCAAGAAACAATTTGCCCTCCAGAGCTCGTGTTCAGTGCTTCAAGTCAAATTTCCAAATTTCCAAAGATATGTTGAAGTTGACACCTTCTGCTACTAGAGATGAAATGAAAATCACAAAATCAAAAACATACCAGTACACACATTCCAGTTTGTCTCAAGACAATGTAAAAAACCCCAACAAAACAAAAAAACAAAAAACGACCTGCACTTCCTAAAAGATTTGCTTTAAATAACTGAAATAATTATTCTGAACATGTTTTATAGAATAAAAAGAATAAAGCAATTACTTTCATGCAGAAACTAAAAAAATAATTTAATAGGATTCAAGTAGCAAAGTTTTCTATTACAAATGAATCTCACCCACATCACCAACACAAGCGCAGTCTCAAAATGAATTGGATTGTTTAAATAGCAAGTGATTCATCCAGTCAAGCTAACTCTCCTGTTCATGTTGTAAGTAAAACCCATACATTTTACTACAGAAACAAAAAGAAAACCCAGAAATACTCCTTGAGTACTTATCCAAAAGCAGTTTCTAACATCAAGCCAAAATTAGCAACAACCAGGCAGACATCACCAATTTTTCAGTGTTGAATTACTGTAAATACTAGATGTAGCAGTACAGAAAAAAAAATCCCAAAAATCAAAAGCTTTTTTTTGTTAAAACGTGTCCCAAGAAATATCCACTAGTTGCAGTCAAATCTGCATCAGAAGTTGCTTTATCAGCAAAGATTTCTCTCTCCAAGTATTTGCATCTGTCAAGACTGTATTCAAATAAATTACTTTCTGGTAACACTGACCTGATAAAACCACCTATATTGTGGAAAGTTATGTACACAGTACAACAGTGGATTTTTGCAGCAACAGAGAAAAGATCAGAAACCATTTCTAAATTTGAGATGATAGCTCATGTGCTATTCCTTGCAAACATACGATCGCCTCTAAGAGTAAGGTGTTGGAGCTGGTATTGTAGCACTTCTGTGTCAGGAGGTTCCTTAATGTTCATTTTGTCTAAATTGAGGTAGTCCAGTGATTTTGAATGAGACCTTTTACCTTTCAAAAGGCGGAGAGGCAGGGGACCATGAAGTGCCTTGTAAGGTTCATATGGTAAAGCTTTACTGTATTTATCCCCTGAGCTGGGCATCCGTCTCCTCCTCCTTCCATTTACTGCTGGGATCTCATATGGCTGGTAGTATCTACTTCTAGCTTTGTACAAACGCGAGGAACGTGGAAGTCCTGAATCAATATGTTTGGAGCCCAAGTTAGGACCAGGTTCTCCTTTATTCTCCTCACTTCCTGTACACTTATGGGCTAGTTTTAGCAGCTCCTCTCCAGTTGCAAAGCCAACCAGGTAGTTAGAATCCATGTGAAGGATCTGATATCCTGCAACTGTCTGCCTTAATGGTGAGCAGGGGGTGCTGGAACAGCGTGGCCTTTCTGCTTCCATCCTGGCTGCAGAACTCACCTCTGCAAGAGGCACGGGGAGGGTGGAGAGGACAGTTCTGGACTCTCCATTCACATCAACTTCCATTTTAAACACAAGGCTTCGCTCCTAAAAATAAAGCAGAGCTTGTTCAGAAAATGCAACACAAGGTGCTGAGAAAGGACCACAGAAGTGCAATTTTGTACCACCCAGAAGTCATAACCAGTACTTACCTATTCAGCCTGGTCTTACCTCTGCAGAGTATCATATAACAGAATCATCACCAACATCAGTCTTTCAAAATTATCTTGGGTGGGTTTTTTATTAAAAGATACCATAAAGATACTGATAATTATAAATAGCTAAAAATATACTTTAATACTATCATACTAAAAAATGGAGCACCTCTCTGGGTCATTTTTTCAGCCTTTTGGTGCATTTTATTCCTTGTAGTCCCTCACATCTTGGAGGGACTCACATCCAATAGCAGATCCATAGCACCTTCCCCCATCTTTACTGTGTAATTTGTCTACTGACAATATTTTTATTAAGCAAAGCTTTCAAAAAACATGCCTAAAAGGTACCACCTCATTCAGACATGACCATGGACCAGACCTGATCGCAGTGCAGTGCAATACTTCCATCTTCCAGATGCGCAGACAGCTTGCTTTAAATTCAAAGAATGGTAACCTAGCTGTTCCACACCTGTCTGATTAGGTCATCAGCAATCCTCACTCACTCCCCAAGAAAATTCACCTAGCATCTTACTCAAAATTAATCAAACACACATTCTTTTATTCTAATAGGATAATAATGTATTTCAAATAAAGTATACTGTGTTTAATGAAGATTGTATTTGATTCTTATAAGTATCTTAAGAATAAACATAATTTATTTTTTTCCTATTTCTCTTGGAAACAGACTATCTTACCCTTCCCTCACAACTTTTCAAATATCTTATTTGGTTCCTTTACAAACACAAGTGCTCACTGCAAGCTATTACCATCGCTAACATGGAAATATATGGTCACCATCACAGCAAGGATACATCAGTAGATGCCAGAACACTGGAAAGCATTCTTTTCATTTCTATTTTCAGAGTCATCTGAACCATTTCAGTGACACAGCTACTTCACAAAACAGAAAGGTCACATTTGTTTCAAAATCCATGCTTTCTTCATTGTCAGACTCACTTTTGCTCTAAACTGTAACTAGTGGCTCTGTAGTCAATATATTTCACAAAAAAATTCAGCATAGCTATGTCATGTTTAAGGGCAACAAGACTCAAAGGAAGGAAAGTTAGCATCTAAGTGTTAAGCAGAAACAATTCTGAAATTCGTTGTGTGTGACCATAAACTACATTCAAAAGCTCAATATTTCACAACTAAGACCAACTTAAAACACACTTCCAAGAGTTTGCAAACTTAAGCACTTGCTGCCACTTTGAGGCTTAGAACATCATGGGCCAAGTAGCAATGACACAACTAACCATGAAATACTTTATTTCTGTAGAAAAAAAATTTGTTAATTTTCTGTACAAAATATATCTTTTTCAATTAGATACCCCACAAAATCACATTAAGACCAATCTCCATTAGTTTGTTTTAAAATAAGAGAGGGAAGTGTGAAAGTATCCCTTGCAAAAGGAAATACTAGCCTCATGCAAAATATAAGATTACCTTGTTTCTTTTAAGGGAATGGGAAAGAGCAGCTCAAATAGTGTTGTCAGAGACTGAAAATCTGTCTGAGACATCTTGGGGGCTTCAAATATATCATAAGGTGTGGGTCTGGCAGGGAACTTGCTCTGGGGAGGTGTTGCCCTGCCCCCCACATTCCCCAGCCTCACAGTGTCCATCAGTTATGGCACAATGGAGGCAGCACCCCAGTGGTGCCTAACCCAGCCCCTGAGTGGCCAAGCTACTGAAAGTCCCACCTGGGAGGAAGGGTCTTTAAGAAGGCTGTCCATAAGACAAGCATATTGTTCTTTAACCCCACCTTCATCTTGGAGCTTTACATCACTGGAACGCAGGAGCTGGTAGCTACTTTTGTTTTTCTACAACTTTCCTGTCTTTCTCCCTTTCTTCTTCTAACTTTCTTTTCACAGAAGATAATGCCAAATGGATTTAAAGGTTTTCTATGTTCAGTGGACTGTATCTCTGCTGTGGTGTTTCATGTTTTACTAAATCATTTGACAAAGTTCCTCATCTTCTATAGTTTGCTAGTAAACTTTTCTGTGAATTTTTACCTCTTGAGGATATCTGGTTGGTATTTCTCTTTTGCATCTACCAAAAGAACCAAAAGAATCTCAGTTTAACCCTGGATTTAAATGACTGGGGTGTGATGTTTCTTCCCTGCTTGGTGCCCAGTCATCCTGCTTCTCCCTATTTTATTATGCTAATAAACAAGGAGTAAACAAAATGCCCACTGTTCTGCTGAAGAGGATTTTATTTACCTTTAACAGACTTGTATTATGGAGAGACTATTTCTAATGTTCCTTTAGTCTTAAACGGTCTCTTTTAATTCTCAGTCATGGTGCATTTAGGATTCTTCATTACCAGTTTTGCATACCATAACTTTTGCAAATATACTTCACCCAATGAGTTTTTAAGCATTTTGGGGTTGGACTAGATGGTCTGGGGTTGGAATAAATGATCTTCAGAAATCCCTTCCAACCCTAACAAATCTGTGAATAGAACAATACTGGAAAACAGTTAAATAAAGAATTGAAATACTGAAGCAAACCAGACACCAAAATTTTTCACTGCAGAAAGTCCACACAACTCAATAATGCTTACTGTTATATTTAATTGAATTCAATATATATTTATGGATTCAGTTACCAGTTCTAGAATAGCAGAAGCAGTTGCTTCCTACTTTAACACCGTATCAAGCAGTATAACAGTAAATCTTGTAAGGCTTCAGCTACTGAAGAAGACAAAGATATTAATGACAATTTGTTAACTTGAAATTATGCACCACCAGGCACAGCACACAGAAATTCTGCATTAAAATTTTCAACTACCCTGGGATTTTAGGCAAGAAACATAAATATCTGTTCTTGCTCTTAATTCCAAAGTTCCACCCTGCAGTTTGGAAATCTCTCCTGAAAACTTCCAGAAAGACTCAATTTGTTCTGTTAAAAGAAACTGAAATGATGCTACAAAAAAACCCACAGAAAACAAATAAACCCCCCCCCCAAAAAAAATCCCAAACAATAAAACCCCCTAACAAACAACATGCCCAAAACAAACAAATCATTTGCAATAGCAGTATGTGCCCTAAAGAAGAGGAAAGAGGAAGAGATATCTTCATGCACTTTGGGAGTTTAAAGTAACACAAAGGCTCTTCCCTTAGCACAACTTTTAAAATTGATTTCCTTTTGTTTGAAACATGGGAGTGTGCTCTGGTAACCAAAAGCAATCAACTTGGAAAAGCAACCCTGCAGAAGGGAAGGAGTCAGCAGTTCACTGCACAGTAATTACCCTCACTGTAAATCCGTACAAAGGAAAATCAGAGCAGAAAGTCTTCCAGCCAGCAAGGTCCAGTCTAGTACTTAAGGTTCTGAAACTGCAGAACTCTCATTCTTTGCTGCAGTGTGAAGGAAAATACTAAAACCAAGCAATCCTGTCAGACATTTGAAAGCAACAGCAGCATTAGAAGCTGGTGCCACAAACATCAAAAACTCAAGGGAACAGCACTGCTTGTTGGTGATATGAATGACTGGCCAGCTGCATAAGCAAAGGACCAAAACTCAATATGTATGTGCTCAGCTCCTCTTCCCCAAGACTTTTAATGCCAGTTATTCAAACTGCTCTATGGCCTCAAAATTATTTGTATCCTTATCTAGGAAAAAAAAACCCAACCAAAAACAAAACAAAACAAAACAACAACAGAAAAGACATAAAGACATTATTTAGAAGACTCCTATGAAAGAAAACAGAAAATAATTTGAGATTCACAATGAGTGTAGGTACCATCACCTATAAAAAGATATTTAAATTTTTTTTACAGTATTTTAGGATATGGTTAGGATTCTATGGTTATAAAGCATTTAATAACTTCTGTTATGTTCACTGCTGTTTACAAGTATAAGCTCATCACTAATTCCCAGCATCAGTTATAACACTGGATAGAGCAGTATGCCTGTTTAAAAAGATGACTGCCTCTGATGACAGCTGGCTTGTCTTCTTGCCTCTCAAACATAATGACAAAAGAGTGATGCCAATTCAAGACAATTTGTAATTAAAGATTATTATTGAATCTAAGCAAGGAGACTAAGAATAATATGGCATATCCTTTGCTGCTGGTCCACATATTAAAAAAATATGCAAAATAACTGAAAATAGCAGTTACCAAAATAATTAACTTGACCAACACCTATCAGAATGGCCCCCAGAACAGAACTCAATGAGATTTTACAAGATATCATTAATTCTCTTTGTATATTTACAAATATACTCTGCATATAAAATAACCAGACCTAATCCAGATAAAGACTGAGAAAATTGTCTAAAACACAGGGCAGGGAAATAATGAAGATAAATACTAGATTAACTACTAAACATCACTCTATGACCTCAAGAATACATTAATATTATTGGGATAGTTCTTTCAGTGTAAAACCATCAAAATTTCCACATTTTGCAAATGTAAAGACTTTCTAGTTATAGAATCTTTCACAAAGTTGTGAGATACCGTTCATATCTTTCTCATAACACGGGACAAATTAGAAACAGTCATGCATGACCCACTAGGGCCTAATATCACAATATATGCACTGTAAATCATTTGTTGTTAAAATTATTTCTTGCCATGTGCCTCACTGCACTCAAAATCTTGTTTGTTTGGTTTTTTCCCCCAATAAAATGTTACTACTTCTGTTACATGCATTACTTACTATCTTTTTGAGGAAAGAAATGTGACTTACAAAATACAAACATTAATTACCCAATTTTTAAAGACAAAAAAAGATGAAGAGGATTTTCCTTGATACTCTTATGCTTTGTAGAAAGTCTGTATTAGTTTGTAGCCACTGTAAGTTGCTTTTAACAAACTAGCTGGTTCTCTGTAATTTCACATTTCTATTGTTACTTATTTCCCCAGATAGAATCTGAATTGATTTTAAAACATGTCTTTTATTTTTCTTTTAGATAAGCATTAAATTTCTGTCCATTCAGTAAATGTTTTCTTCTTAAGCACTTGTTCTTCCTCCTAGATGCCAAGCCTGTAGGCAATACTATTAGCCAAGAATCACTAAGATATGTCACATTGGTAAAATGATAGCAATTGCAACAAGAAAAAGGAGAATGGAGATGGCAGAGATGATACCAACTGTAAAAGAGTCAAACATAATGAATAGACATATCAAGCCAGTTTTGACACATTCCCTTCTCTGTGCTGCCATTACTTGATATATACAGTGCACTTAGAAGACAAAATGTTTGTCTGTTAGACACAGGAGTAAGTGAAACCACCCAGCATGTCTGAAGCTGGGACACTTTCAATTATTTCAATTGTCTTTTTGGTAAGAGTATAAAATAAGGTCTTCATCATTCCCCTTCAGTCTGAAGGGAAAAAAAAGTTTGCTGTTTCTTACAAGAAATTCCATACTCCTCTAAGCTAAAGAGAATGGGGGCAATATTAAATTGCTGTACCACATAAGACAACACTCAGATGGAGTAACAACTAAGTGTCGTACAGATTTACTTCCTCAAAATTACATGCAAGAAAATGAAATTATGCTTAAGATATACACTATAATCCTACAGACATTAAGAAAACATGAACTGATATTACTGAATTAATAAAGCCAGCACAGTAACTTCAGAATGCAATGTAAAACAACAGCCTACCAAACAACTAGTAAAGCGTGTGTTTTGGTGGAGAAAAGCGGGGGCTCTTGTCAACTGGTAAAATATTAAGCCATTCAGCTACCCAGTATACTAAGCAATAAGTACCACATGGCTTATATAAAACTAGGATTTACAAAATGTTCTTTTTGAAAAGAATTTCTACCAATATGCTCCTACTCCAAGTAGCAGTGACCAGTTTTTCAATTCTTGTGATTAACACAGTTTTAAACAGTGTTTAAAACTATTATGATTCAGAAAACTACCTTTTAAAATTGAAGATGGTCAAAAGTGCACTACTGAAAAACTACAACTAGCAACACAAGTGACTAGCTCAGACCAAATCAGCATGACAGAGCATACAGTTTACAAAGAAAAGAGACAGATGGAATGTTCAGAGTCTGACCAGACTAATGAATTTTGTATGAAGATACTTAGCAAGCAGAAGTGAAAGAAAATGGTGGGAAAGAAGGCCATTTAACATCTCTCTGCCAAGGGATACTAGATGGAAGTGTTTAACAGACAGTAACTTCTCTGACATATTTAGTTTTCCACATGGACAATGCGACTCCCTTGCTGGAGTCTTGCTGTCTAAACAGTCCTTGCTGTCTAAATCACAGACAAACACTTCCCCTTCACTTGGTCTGTAGAATGATGCTCCTGGCCAGCATAAAGGTGGTTGTTTACTATGCTGACTCTTCAAAAAGTAAAACAGTGAGATTCAAAAAAGCTGATACATATTGTAACACAAATAATTTTTATTCTTTATTGGATTAGTAAGTAAAATAATGTTTCCCTTATCATTTAACTTCTTCTTCTCTGTACTTTTGATCTTCTATCTTTTCATCAACTAAAATCTAAGTTTCACCTTCGAAGTTTTTCTTACTTTCACATTAGCTCACTTGGGAAGACACCACACAACCTGATTTGTCAACAAAAAAACTAAACTGCCTTTTAAAAATAAGAGACAGAAACAAACAAAAGACATCATTCCAGTTTTTACCAAATAAATACTGCCTTCTTTAATTTAAAAACTAAAGTTCTAATGGGACTATGGGTCTGCACTGTTACCGTGTTAAAGAAGAAATTCAGGTTGGGTAATGTTCTATACTTACAAGTCAGTGCAGCTCTGGTGGCATTATTTTGAAATGATCAGACTAAACAATAAAATATTCAGCCTTTGACTAGGAACAGCTATATCAAAGAAATAAACTTTAAAAATGCGCCTACTCACATTTATATTAATAAAAAAAATGTTTAATCAATGCAATTTAGTTTTTTCATTTTTTTTAATGGAAGTACTTTAAGCACTCTCTCAAGCTCAGTAGAGTAATGGACATAAAGGTTTTAAAGTTTTGTTGTTTGTCTGATTCTCAAATGCTCCTTCCCTTACTTAAATGCTGCTTAAAAACCAGTGTATTGCAAGTGTAGAGTAACAATTAGTAAAAGCCCAACAGTACATGCAGTTACAGTAAATTTCTATTTCAGACTTACAACTAGTGTGAACAGAAATCTTCTTCCCAGAACATTTAGTTCTGACTCATCTGACTTTGCCATACCAATACCACATTTGCATATGATTATACATGCCCAATGGCGAAGCCAGCAGCATAAGGCTGATCAAAGAGACTGTACAGAAAGCCACACTGTAACGCCCGTACTCTGACACAAGAGCCTAATTTCAGTGATTGCATTGCCACAGCCTCATTTCCCTCTGCTTCAAAGACACTGTGAGAACCATCCTCCTCTAGCTTCATTATCCTAACAAATGCTCTTCCTCAGGGGGGAAAATAAAAGCTGAAGCAAGTACATCTGGTTATCTGGAATATGGTTCAAAATATATCAACAGCAGGAGGGTAGTGGGAGAAGCAGCTTTCTGACATCAGTTCATTTCTGCATGCAGCTATGCAAGCAAAATGTATGAAATCCTGGCCTGCTCCAGAGAACACAGTAACAAACACATGCTCCTAAGAAACACCTATTAGAGTTCATAATTTCCTATTTTCTTTGCAATAGCGAATACATTTTTGCTAGGCAAAATCCCTATAGAAAACCGCATATAAATAATATATACAGAGAGCTAAGATCTGAGAATGCTTTCCTACCTTCTGCAGACCACTCAAAACAGCACCATAGCTGCTCAAAGTCACTCTTCCAGTAAATGTGCAGAGACAGGACTGGAAAAACATGCCTGCTAATGAATCAAAGCAGCTTAGCAAGTTTCATACTCTAAAGTAATACTTGAATGCACCTTGAGTGCACAAGGGCAGTCAGTGAGCTTCACAGGCCATACAGTAAATATTAAGACAAAACTCTGAGTCTCTGATTACTCTTCACTAAGCAAAATTTATTACAAAGAAATATAAAAACCACAGAAGGTTAACTATGCACACATTGTTACTACCAGAATCAACAGGTCATATCCAAGTTTAGCACTTGCCTGAGTGATAGGGCCGCCAGTGGCTTTGAACTGCAACTGAGGAGAGAGTTATGCACACTAAATAAATACATACACTAATGCTAGATATAGCTGCACACAGCTAAGTTCTGGGCTTTTCCACCGCTTGCACTGTCACCCATCGGGTGGCACGGACAGCGCACCAGGAGCAGCGGAGGCTGCAGGCCCCACATGGCGGCTCCCCGGCCTCCCTGCACACACGGGGATCACCACCAGCGTCCTGGTCTCCCTCTAGGGCTGCCGGGCAGCGTCTGCCATGTTCCTCCCTACCGGCTCGGCCCCGCCGCACTCGGGGCCGCAGGGCGGGCTGCGGGGCCTGCAAGAACGCGGGGCCGCCACTCGCACCACACGACCTGGCG